AGCGCGCTACCGCTTGAGCCACATCCCCAGCCCCAGTGTTTTCTTGACTATCTCACATGAATTTAGTTTGTTCCTCACTTTGCTTTCTTGATTCAATCTCTTTCATTGACTGGTTTCTTCCCTCCCTTTGTCTTTCTCTTCTTCCTCCCTTACAAATTGAGGCCAGGATGTTTATGTTGTAGTTTCTGCTTTTTGGATCTTGCTAGTTTTTAAAATATCCCTTTGTTTACTATATTTTGGAAACTGATCTGTACTTAGATCTAGAAGTTTAAAGAGATTTGGGTTCCATTTTTTGGCAAGAAAATAAGTGGTGTGATATTCTTACCTGAGAAAAAATATAACGTGTCTTTTTTCTCTCTTCATGGTGTAAGTCACGATCGATCATTCCCTGAATCCATCCAAGGGCCCTTGTTAAGTGCTGACAGTTTGCCCTCCAGATCTGAGGCTCCCCATCCATAGACTTGACCAAACTCAGATAAAAATATTTGGGGAAAAAATTGCACTGAACCTGGAGTTTTTTTCTCAACATCAGTTCCTAAATAATATAGTATAAAAGTATATACATTTATATTTTGAGGTATTATAAGTAATATAGAGATGACTTAAAATACAGAGGAGAATGTAGGTTATTACCCTTTACTGTGACATTTTACATGAGGTACTTGAGTGTCCTTGGATTTTGGTAACCTCAAGGGGCTCTTGAAACCAACCCCTTGCAGATACTGGGGGACAACTGCATTTTAATTCCATAAAACATTTATTTACTAGAATACATTCTACTAAAAAAACCTTCCCTTCACCTTCCCTTTGATTATTGTGAGGTACAGTACAGTTTGCATAAGAAAGGATACATGTTTGATTTTTTCCTTTAATTAACTGTTATTTAAAATGATAAGATGGTTCTGTGGCATCCTCAAAAAGTGACCAGAGAGTGTTCCATCTTAGGATAGTATGAATTTATAGATTATAACACTTTCTTGTATTTCAGTTAATTCCCATTATTATTATTTTTTCTTTTTGGTGTTCATATTGCTAAGTTGTTGGCCAACTTCTTCAAATTGGCTGAGTACTATTTTCATGACCTCATAGTCACTCATAGCTTCTTTGCTTTCCGGTAGGAAAAGATATTCTAGTTTCAACTTCTGGATTTCCTGTCCCAGTCCTGAAATTGGCTATTTTTTTTTTTTTAATAGAAGTCTTGGTTGCTTTTACTGGGAAATTATGTATTGCATTTACAAGTATCACAAAAGTATCAAAATTTTAGTTTTTTAATTATACAAGTAATGGAACTTTTGTTACAATGTTTCATTTTAAAATTACAGAATTTCTGTTCTTTGACAGGATTGGTGAGCGAGCTATTCTACTGGGAGGACTCATCGTTGTGTGGGTTGGCTTCTTTATCTTGTTACCTTGGGGAAGTCAGTTCCCCAAAATACAGTGGGAAGGTACATGATTCTATAACATTATCTCCTGGTGTTTAGCTAAAATTAGCAAGTCCTACACCATACTAATTTTGTTTTTACAGATTTACATAATAATTCAATCCCTGATACCACATTTGGGGAAATTATGATTGGTTTTTGGAAGTCTGCAAGAGAATATCATAATGAACGGCCAGTTGGTTGCCCAATTGAGCAAGCCTGGTGCCTCTACACCCCAGTAATCCACCTGGCCCAGTTCTTCACATCAGCTGTGCTGGTTGGAATAGGCTATCCAGCCTGTAATGTTATGTCTTATACATTATATTCAAAAATTCTAGGACCAAAGCCTCAGGTAAGCAGGCTTCCCTGACATTGCAATTATAAGACATACATTGTAGTACATTGGGGGATTTTTACCACATTTATTAGCATTTTAAGTTTTTAAAAGCAAACAACCTTTGTCAAGTATTTATAAGGTTTATTTACTGAAACTTCACAAACAGTATGCTAATGTGATTAGGATGCCAGTGATTATGAGCTCAAAATCATTTTCACTGAAAAAAAAAAGTTTGAAGTATAAATTTCTGAAACTCTTAAATTAGGCAACATTAAGGGAACCATAATTGGTAGCCACGTTTGGATCTAGGCTTAATTTCTTCTGACTCCAGAAGCAATTACTAAGAGATGAAACGCACAAATATCTTAAAAGTTTACAAAGGCTATGTATATTTTTAGATTATTATATTATTTTGTGGTGCTTGGGATCAAACCTACAGGCTAGACAAGCACTACATCACTGAACTGCATATACCTTCAGCCTTAAACTGACTTTTTTAGGGGGGGTACTGAGGATTGAATTCAAGGGCA